TATAAAGTTTTAAATATGTATATTTTTATGACAAAACCGCACGGATTACCCTCAGAAGGCCTTCGTTTATCCCCCTGGAGCCGGATGGATTACTTTTGTGAAGGATGTATGCACATTTTGGGACTTGAAGGAGGTGGACCCCATTGCTTCACATTATATCCACTGAAGGGTCTAAGACATTTTCTAAAGTAACTGAAAATGTGTTTGTCTGAAACAAGATTGAGATATGCATCTCGAACGGCTTGAGGGTGAGTAATGCATGTGTTAAATATCATTTTTGGCCGAACTATCCCTTTAACATTAGTTAACTATCTTAGTTAACATGAGCTAAGAATGAACAATACTTCTACAGAATTTATTAATCTTAGCTAATATTAATTTCAACATTTACTAATACATTATTAAAATCAAAGGTTGTATAAGTTAACATTAGTTAATGCACTGTGAACTAACATGAACAGACAAACAGCTTTATTTTTATTAACTAACATTAACAAAGATTAATAAATACAGTAACAAATGTATTGCTCATTGTTAGTTCATGTTAGTTAATACATTAATTAATGTTAACTAATGAACCTTAATGTAAAGCGTTACCAAAATATCTCAAATTTTGTGTTCTGAAGATGAACATACTTTCATTTTTGGGTGAATCAACTCTTTAAACTAAAATTAAAATAAAAAAGGAAAATAGATAAAGCTATATTAATACATTTAAATGCTATGGTGTCAGCAACGCTATATTCTGCAGATTGATTATGTACGTCACGTTGCATGTAATCAAAGGGCTTGCGTGGGAATCAGAGTTTGACAGGTCTCTCGTTCCTCTTTAGCCAGCTCAGCGCCTCAAGTCACTTTAATTGCACTGGCTAATTTCCAGAAGATGAGCCTTACAGATTCACTCAGCTAATGTCTTTCCAATTTCAGATGAGTTCAAACCCAGTCCACGCTGACAATGGCCTTTTCTTCACCCTCAGAAGTCCAATTTCCTCCACGACCCAAAGGGAAATTCAAAGGGTTCTCTTCTATTCTGTGCCTAAATAACCATATTAATGTTTGGCCCGTGTCCTTTCTCTCTCAGTTTGTTCCTCCTCAGCATGAAACCCAATCTAAGAGCAGCACCGCATAACAGACACTAATGAAAGCCACATAAAATTACCATAACGGCCAAAATGAGCAGTCAGCAGCTATCTACAAATGAGATTTTTTTATGGCTTTACATGAATTCAAAGTTTCTTTGCATATAATAGACCATAACATGCCTCTTTCTTCCTCTTGCTTTTGCCTCTAAACACAATAAACAGATCTTGAAGACACATTTCTTGGCTCTACTTCAGTGCATTCAAGTGTGAAATACAGTGGCTGAGGCAGCAAAGAGCATCCATTACCAACACTGCATTACACACACACACACACACACACACACACACACACACACACACACACACACACACACACACGCACACACGCACACACACACACACACACACACACACACACTTACTCTAATGCTGTGTTTTCATGTTTTATGGGGACTTTCCATTTACATAATGATTTTTATACCGTACAATCTGTCTCTCTAAATTGGTCTTTCCATCCTGTAGCTTTACAAACTTTCAACCAGTGTCTTACTCTCAATTACTCAAAATAATTTCTCAGATGAAACTCACATTCTGTCAATCAGATGTATTGCCTGGTCGGCTCTGTTTAGTGAGGTCTTAGACACAATCTTCCCAAACCCTCTTATATGATAAACAGCTCTTTAATGAACGGGGTATAAGTTTTAAACATGCTATCGTACAGCCCCTATTGAAAGGACCTCATCTTTACCCCACCGTGCATAACAACTACCGGCCTATCTCTAAACTCCCATTAATTTCAAAGGTTTTGGAAAAAGTGTCACTCTTACAGTGTACTTCATACCTGGATCCTTTTAATAATCTAGACCCGTTTCCATCTGGGTTTAGAGCTCAGTCAGCATTGCTGAAGGTTACAAAAAGACATTCTGCTGCCATTGACTCTGGGTCTTCTGCTATTCTGATACTTTTAGATTTGAGTGCTGCACTTGACACTATTGATCATGATATTCTTCTGAAACGACTTGAGTGGGTTGTTGGAGTCCAGGGCCTATAGCTTTACAGTGCTTCGCCTCATACTTAAAGGGGACTTAGTACTGCTCTGTAAATATCAGGTCATTCACTTCACCATGTGTGCTTATCCATTGTGGTGTTCCACAGGGATCTATTCTTGGCCCTCTTTTTTTTTCCTCTACATGAAAATAAAGCAGAAGTGCTTCTACTGGGTCCTGCTGCTACCAACAAAACAACTCCATTAAAACACATTTAGGTTCCTTAAAGGGTTAGTTCACCCAAACTAACCCTTTACGCGTGAAAATGCACTATTTCAATCTTTCTATTTCAAATTTATTCAATTTGCTGTTTCTTTGTAATTAATTGTGAAATTTTTTAAAAAATTGTTTCTACACCCAAACTATTACACT